TGTTCGGGGGGCAGCAGAGGAAAAGGGGAAACGAGATTTTAGGTGGAAAAATAAACAAGCCGAAGGGGGTTCGGGCCTCGCTGCCGCGGGGCGATGGGCCCGGTCCAGATGTGTGTGCTGGCTCAGCCCGGCCGCACGCAGAGGCTACACACCCTTGGTGCCTCCCTACGCTTCCCTCTGTGGTATTGGAGCACATTAATGCAGTTCTGATACAGGCTGAAACAGGGACGCTTAATTATTTTTTTTTTTAACCTTGTGTGTATGTTTACCCATACCTGCCCCGATTTCTTTGTGTACAAAACATAGAACAGGAATTTGAAGGGATTGTGAGGTGTTTGTCTAAAAACAGGTTTCCATTTTTACAGCGTACCATTATTTTAAAACTTTCTCTGCAGACATGGCTGGTTCTGTATGAGGTGCACATTTCCCGAGAGCTGTAATATTCTTACCAGGTTTTCTGTTGTTTTGCAGTTGGCCCAAAGCTTTTCCAGTATGTCATAAAAGTCATTGTGCAGGCAATACAGTTACTGTACACAATGCTGAAGATAGATCAGCCATCCTATATTCTTCTTCAGGTATGTTTTATGTTAGGACTAATATTAAGAAAAATAAATAGTACTACAGTACAGGGTGTTTTTAGCAGTCTCAGACATTGTTCTGATTATTTGAGAACTAAAACTGGCCCGATCAATGGTATAAACCTATATCAAACTATTTGGCTCTAAACTTTGATTTTTCTGTTAAAAGTTCACATCGGTTCTTCCTGTTAATTGAGCTTTTGAGCTTCATTGGCATGGATAGCAGTAAAAAATAAATCTTAACAGAAATGTTTGTGTGTTTATTGGAGGGGAATTTTGATCCTGATCCAACAGAAAGTTTGAAGTGCCTACTAATCTTCATCAGAGAAACTGGCAGTTCTATAGTTGGTAAATACAAAATTGTCTCTGTTCATTAAGATCTTTAAAGCAGCGCAATTTCAATCATTTGGTTTTCTTTTTCTGGTAGTTGCTTAGTGTTTGTCACTTGATCACAGCCTTATGCTATTTTTATTTGTTTTATTTATTAAACAGAATCCTCCAGGCTTGCCTAGCATAGCTGTTGCCTGGGTAGCATGTCTTTTCTGGAGAAGCAAACTGATAATTGATTGGCACAACTATGGATATACTATAATGAGTCTGAATCATGGAAGAAATCACCCACTAGTACAAATTGCAAAATGGTTTGTACAGTAATTTCTTCTCCTCTTAATAAATTACGTACCTTTGCAGAATTCAGAAGAATGGAAACCAGTGGGGAGAATATAATTAGCAAAGGGCTGTTTCCGTGAAGGATTTCTGGATTTTGCTGTGTTACAACTGCTTTCTATTTCAGAAAGTGTGTTCTGTAAGTCGCCTTTGTTAAACACATAGGAAGGTGATTGATGAAGTAGGCAGGTTGCTTTTACATGCATATGCAAATTTTGATCTTGTTATTAGAGTGACTTTATATGTACTGGGTTTTTTTACTCTCTAATGCTGCTTTACACTCCCGCTCATCTTTAAAGGTCTGTTTCTTGCTGAATCTAATTGGTTAAATGTAGAGAAAGGCTATAAAGGCTTTCAAGTTTTGTGTTCTTAGGTCTTAGAGGATAAGGAATCATATGCTGTATCCCTTCTCATAAACTGATACTGCTTCAGTATAAGGCGTCAATCAATAATTGATAATTAAATTCCAGTTTCTGGGGGCAGTTGGGTTTCTTTTGGTTTTGTTTGGCTTTAAATTAGCATGGGCACTGGTGTGCAGTTATTGTCTGGCTAAGGCAATTGCCTGTCTGTGGTTTCTAAATAAGAGTTAATTTTTCTCAGGTATGAAAAGCTTTTTGGGCGTCTGTCTGACTATAACTTGTGTGTCACTAATGCAATGAAAGAAGATCTGTGGGTGAATTGCAACATCAAGTAAGTCATATATCGCTAACAAATTAGTATGTGCATATGTGAAGTAAAATGAAAGAACATATCCCTGACGATTCTGGATTCAGAGGAATCTTAGAAAAGAAACTTTCCCTAGCCCATCCATCACCACTGAAACACGTTAGCTCTGTTTTGTAATGAGCTAGTAGAGTGTGGGCATTCAAGAATCTTCATTACCCTTCATAATTAACATCCCATTGACTAGAAGGTAGCAGTCTAGGTGTTATGGAAGTTTGCTACCAAGCTGCCTGTAGAATCGGAATGAGGCAGACATCACTGTGTATTCTAACAATTAGTCTGCCCTGCAAATTTTTCTTCTGCAATCAGAGGGCTTTAAGGTAAAAGTTGCTCAGGAAAGGTTATGAAGTAAGTTTAAAAATCAGGACAATGATGTCTGCAGTTCTTACGGTTACATTACACTCCTTGAATATGCACACAAGAAAGGGGTCCTTTGTTACAGGATTAATATGTCCACCTTGGTGTATTCCAGCAAACTTCAGGAATATAGAAAGTTGAAAGTAAAAAAATTAATTATTTTGCTGTATTGATTTGCTTAATTACGTTCTGCATTACATTGTTGTAGCCTGTCACTGTACTGTATACGTTTTGTTACATCTGTTTTTTATTTAACTTGTGAATTTATTTCATTATAGGGCAGTAACACTGTATGACAAGCCAGCTTCTTATTTTAAGGAAACACCATTAGAACTTCAACATCATTTGTACGTGAAACTTGCCAAAGACTATGAGCCTTTTAAACCACAGTATGTGTAAGTAAAGCATCAGTTACAGTCCTTAACAGAATGACATAAAGTTATTGCACTTAGTTACCAGAAATACTTTTGCATGGGGTCACAAGTTACTGAACATCAGCAGGCAGAGTGGTCTCTGTGTGCTCTTAACCAGCAGCTGATGCTGTGCAAGTTAGCTTAATTGTTGCTAAGAGAGGCCAGAGTGAGTGAAATCACAACTGTGGTAACACAATGCTTGGTGTGTGAAATAATAGAAGTGTTTTATTTTTAAAGAAGTTGACATAAGTACTGAGGCAAGCTGTAATATAATATCTCTGGGGTGGAACTCGGCAGTTGTCTAGTTCCCATTGAACTAGATGACAGTGACTGGATGCTTCGTTAATAGCATCCCTTCCTTTTGCTTACTGTGGAGAGCTTTCAAGATCTTGTTCTGTGTGTTAAACGTTCCTGTCTGGCTATGTGCAGGATGTCTCCTATAGCAGATTTAACAGGGAGTTACTTTACCAAACTAATGCTTGAAAAAGAAGTGAAAGCCATAGTGTATAGTGGGGTTTTTTTTTGGGGGGGGG